CACATATACCACGCGCAACATGCTCCACACATACGTACCACATGCTCCACACATACGTACCACATGCTCCACACATAGGAGCACCACACACACCACATACTCCACACATACCATATACCACACATGCCACATGCTCCACACATACCACAGACACCACACATGCCACATATACCATGTACAACATGCTCCACACATACATACCACATACTCCCCACATAGGAGCACCACACACACCACATACTCCACACATACTAGATACCATGCATACCACACACCACAGGCTCCACACATACCACATGCACCACACGTACCACATATACCACGCGCAACATGCTCCACATACCACACACACCACATACTCCACAGACACCACACATACCACATATGCCACACACGACATGATCCACACACACCTCATTTCACACACATGGTCCTTAGTTGACGCCAAGCCAACACTAACACAGGCAATTTGGGTGCAGGACAACCACACTGGACATGTGAAAGGGTAATTCTTTTCAAAAGAAAAATCATGACTCTCATACCAAATGAATGAACACCCGCCAAAGGTTTTATTGGTTTGTGAACTGCTGCGGGAACCAGTAGGATGTCGTGCTTGGTCAGAGACAAAGTCACCGAGCAGCCGCAGGTGCAGACAGTGAGGAGAGGTGTAGACGGTCAGGACTGGAGAGGTGACTGTTTAATGGCTGCACAGTGGGCGTGGCCCCAGCAGCAGAGGGACAGCCAGCGTGCCTGTGCTGGGCGGCGTTCACGTGCCCATGTGCTGATGAGCCCACTGCTTCTCTTGGTCGTCTGCACCTTGGAGTGAAGGCACAGGGAGCCCAGCACCCCCACCCTCACGCCTGTGGTCACTTCCGTCCACATCGAGTCTTTGACGATAAGCTGTCCCTTCCCTCACATAGTCTGCCAAGCCAGCAGACGAATGACAGAACCGCAGCCGCCGCTGCATCCCGACCTGGCCCTCAGCACGCTCAGAGGGGCAGCCAAGGGCCGCTCTCTGGACGGAAAACCAGACACATTCCTGGCTTCTGTGGTCACTGATAATAAGACTTTAAACCTAGAGTCTCAATGTAGGAATCGGATTGCAAAAACCCAAGCTGCAGCAAGGGAATGGGGCAGCCCCTCCGGCCCTGCGCACTCCCGCCTCCCACTCCCCAGCTGCCGCATTGCAGCAGGCTTTGGAGGGAGGACAGTGCCCTGAGTCTGCCCCCCGCACCCCATTCAGCTGCCCCTTGGTTCCAATGATGGGGCCCCTCCTCTCCAGCCCCTGGTTTCGGCAGATGGGACAGGGACAGTCCCCCCTCAACCTGTCTGACCCTGAACCCCACCACCCACGAGGCTGGAAATGTGCACCTGCTCTGGCCCCGCTCGGGTCCCTGCCTGTTTTGCAGTGAGCAGTCTGGGTGTCAAATGGGGTCCTCAGTGCCCTATACACGGAGCCCAGAAAATGGTCCCTCAGAGTGCAGGGGTCATTGAGGAAAGTGGGGGGCTGTGCAGGTGGGGATCCCGGGGCCACCAGCCAGGCAGTTGGGCTGCCAGCTCAGCACCCACTGCCCATCTTCCCAGCATGGCCTCTGGGAGCTGGCAGTGCCCACCTTGTGCGCCTCCCTGGGCCTGGGGGGGCACGTTCCTCTTCTTTAAGGGGTCAGCCTGGGGAAGGGGCCCGCCCTCCCTGGGCCCTGTGAGTCCCCCAGGAGCCACACGCAGGTCTGATTCGGTAGCAGTTTATTGAGCCGAGCCCCGCGGGACGCCCGCCCTACTCCTCCTTCTCGTCCCCGTGGGTAATGATGTAGCACAGGGACTTGTAGTCGATGTTGCCGGCCAGGTCCATGGGCGTCAGGGC